TTCCTCCCCTATGGGAGAAGGCTGCCAGCACAATGTCTTGAAGCCTAGATCTCTTAATCTCATTAATATCTTGATTGTCTTCTCCAATCTAGTGGGAGCCTGTGGGGTGGTACCCAGTAGATAGATAAAATGACCTTCAAATTCAAGAGATAAAATGACAGACAAAGTCTGAGAAGGAGAATTTTGAAGCCATGTCTGCCATAGGTCCCCAAGTCAGTACAAACCTTGTTTTTCTTACAGCAGCAGATGTTCCCAAGGCAGAGTTTATCACTGCACAACTGAAATAATCTGCCACTTAGGGACAATGGCGCTCACTTACTCTGGGGGCCTTTGCTGTTGAGATGAATATTTTTACAATTGCCCTCATAAACTCCCTCCCCTTGTCTGCTGTCAGGAGGGGGTGGAGCTCCCAGAGGTGAGCTGAGGTGCCTCCAGTGTCTCAGAGGCCCCATTAAGTTGTTAAGGCATTTAGTGCCCCAGACAGGGCCGAATGCAAGGGCAGTTCAAATCCTCCACAGGTGCAGATGGGGTTGTGGAAGAGGGGGCTTTGATTTTTCCCAAAAAACCCACCTTGGTCATGGGAGATGGGTGAGGAGGAAACAGTCAACTCCCCAGCTTTTCTCCACGTCTTTGACTATACTTTCCCAAAGCCTCTGCCATTGAGAGGGGTGGTGGGAGAGAAAGAGACTGCCACAGATTGCGGAGTATGTGTGTGTAAGCACAGTATTCACATCTGAAAAGTTTGTAGCATCTGCATGACAAGAGATGGGCAATGTGTAACAGCTGAAAACCTGTCCCCATGACTTAGAAACTCTAGGAACTTGAGCAAGTTACTCACATTTGAAACATCTCCCTTCCTTTGATTGTAAAAGGAGGATACAAATACAGTGGTTTCCACCCTCCCGAGGATGCTGCAGAGGTTAAATGAGAGGGAGCATTCAGGTGTTCAGCCAGAGCCTGTACCCAGGAAGTGCTTAGTCAATGCCAGCTGTTATAATTCTTCACTGTTAGACATTATCTTGCCACTGGGCACTTTTTGAGGTTTTCATTGGTCCCACAGATTTCTATGTCTCCACAAAGGTCCCTGGCCAAGGTCTGGTTTGTCCAAGACTTGGGATTAGATTTCTGCATTCACTGGAAGAAAGGCGGGTGAAGAAAAAGCACGAGGCAGGATTCTCTGTCTTTCAAGTTGTGATCTCATGTTAGGGAAGTCAAGTTTACTGGGCTGGGAAAGGGAGGAATAGAGTTCAAAGGGATGTAGGAGAAGAGCCACAGAAACCGTGCCCCTTCTTAGGGAAAGAGGCTATGGCTCAGGATCCCAAAGATCTCAGAATCCAGGCTGTGCAAAGATGCCTTCTTTTTCCTATGTCTCTCTTTCCAGGACAGTAAGTCTACACTTCCTTCACAAAAGGTGATGCAGAAGTGAGGTTGTGATGGGTGGGAGAGTGAACACTGATGAAATTTTTTTGTCCTTCTTTTTCCTCCTGGGGCTGTGGCCAAGTGACTTAGTTTGGGGCTGGAGCAAAGTAGATAGTGAACAAGGCCACCCCCGATACCAGGCTTGGATGAAGGCTAACCCAACTTCTATCCCACGCCAACTTCCTCCTCCTCCTCCAGCCAATCAATACAAGCACCAGTCTCCAACCAGCCCTTTTTCTTGCCACAGCCCTGCCCTCTGACCTTTTGGGGGCCTCTCTCTTGAGTCAGCTCCAGAATGGAGGTAGAGGCCATCACTCGGGACCTGCTCAATGGCCTCCGAAGGGGCTGTCACGGGGCCTCTAACCAGGGACAGCTCCTGCTGGCCAGAGCTGGAATGGGGAAGGGGGCAGATAAAGGCCTTACAGGCTGAAGATAAATGGCTGCCTACAGCCTGCTACAGTAACTTCAGGCCCCCAAGAAGAACAGACAAAGAGTGCCCCTGTGACACTCACTGGAAAGATGAAGGCCCATCAGCCGCAGCCAGGCTGGTTCAAAGCCCCAACTTAATTGTCAATTAAGCATGCATAAGGGAGACAAAGCCATGACAACCCCTGGCTGCATGCTGGTGTGTGATTGTAAAGCTGAGGAGGGCCAACGCTGAAAACAGCTGATTCTGCTGACAATGTGTTTGTAGGGCACCTTGTAACCAATCAGCCGCTGACAGAGGCAAAGTGCTCCTCCTGCCACCCCTATTGTGCAGGACATTCCAGGACCAGGGTCACACTGTGGTCATTGTGGGCAAGTGGGCCACAACACAGTAAGCGTGGCTGGGAAGGAAGGGGCTCAGTTAGAGAAAGGGTGCTCTCCTTCTCTAGGAAAATTCATCTCCCAACAGCGGCCAGGCCTCCTGGCTCAGGTGCTGGGGTATGGAGAGGAGAAGGCTGGAGAGGGTGGGGTGGCGATGAGGACTCTGTTTCTTCCCCTGCTCAGTCTCAGTGGTTGCTAGTGCTGAATCTGGATGTTGGTTTTTCCTCAGCTCAGAACATGTATTTTACATTCAGTTGTGTTTTGGGAGTTGGATAGAGACCCATAGCTGTGGCACCATACTTGGAAGTGACTATGAAGCTCTTGAGATCAAAGCCTTCCCTGAGTGCTGAGCTCCAGCCTGCCAACTGCCTAGCCCCGGGTACATTATGCGGGTCCCATCACAGCACACGCACCATTATGGCAACTTGAAATGGGGACGCAGGTCTCTGTCCCAGGCACCCCTGGACTCTGGAGCAGTCCCAGGGCCTCCTAGCAACAATGCCCCACTATGTGAAAATTAGAAAGAAAAACAACATTTGTGCTGCCTGCCATTCTTTCCATTGCCACTGGCATAGGCCTCTGTAATCCTGTGTCGGTAACAATGTGGTTTGCTGGGAAGTGTTTACACTTTCACCCATTTAACCCTGTGAGGACTCGGGAGTCAGCCGTACCTATCCCCTGCTGGTTGGAACTAAGATTCAAAATGACATACAGAGAGTTAGATTCATTGGCTTGGGACAAGGATTGCCTTGATTAGCTCTAAGTGACAATTAAGGCAGAGGGGAAGCAGCCGCTGCACACATACATAGCACCCTCTAAGTGCTGCTCTAGAAATAGCAGGTCCTTTTCTCCCTGGAGAGAGCCACTAAGCCTCCAAAGATAAACTTGATTCCCAGCTGACTCTAGAGACTCCATGCTGGCGCAGTATCTTGGCAGACAATGAGCTGCGGGGGGGCAGGGCTGTGTGCCCTCCCCGCCTCTGGTAAGCTCAGTGTGGGAAAGCATGGCCATCAGCAGACCTGAGATCTAGTTACTCTGTGTAGCTTTGCCAACACTACCTCTTTCTGGGCCTCAGTTTCTTTTCTAAAGTCTGAATTCTATCATTCCATGATTTTGTTTTTTAAGTCCAGACTTTTGGGAGCTCCCCCCAAGAGTCCCTTTCCAGTGGGACATGTCTTTCTTGGTCTCATAGGAGCCATATCCAGGCTGCGTTTCTTGGCCCCCATCTCCACCTTATTTCCAGTACCTGTCCCTGACCCTCCAGACCTAGCTTTCTGTATTTCAGGAGATAGAAAGCCGAAGCTAACGACCCTGTGGTGACCTCAGCACAACCCCAGCTTGTCAGAAAGCTGCTGAGCCTTTGTTTGGCTTGCAGGCTCCCTGACTTTGGAGTGGAGATCACAAGTCCCAGCACAATGGCTATTGTCTTCTCAACAATGCCCCTTGCCCCAGCCACACCCCCTGTAGCTCTTAGCTCAGCTCTGAGGATAAGCTCTCAGGATAGCTATGGTGGGCAAGTGCTCCAGTCTTCAGTGCTGGCCACATGCCATCCACTACTCTTCTCTGAGCCCTGCTTTGAACTGCCATGAAGGGACAAAGTTACTCTAATTAGGTCAGCATCAGCTCAGGGGTTTCTTGGTCTTCCAAGAATCATCCGAACTTTCTTCCCATGTGACTGAGCCTTTCCTTTCTATGGTACAGAACCCACAGAAACTACAGCCCAGATTCAGGCTTTATGCTGAACACTATCATGCTGGTAGACACCATGCGAGAGGCCATGCTATGGGCACAGCAGGCTTAGCACAAATCCTTGTATGCTCTCCCACTTTGGCTCTGAGTTTGTCCTGGTGACCAGGTCACCTCAATACTTGGATCAGCTCCCAGTTCTCAGGCTTTCCCATCAGAAGGCAACACAGTAGGCAAAGAGAATAGATTTCCGAACCACCCTAGAATTATAAGTGCTGGTTGGCTTTCCTTTATGATCCTTTCCCCCAGAGTAGGAGGCTGTGCCACACTGTTCACACAGGCACTAAACATACCCCAATAAGCATACTGGTTCTGCAAATCTATTTTCATAGAAGCAGTAGACTGTATAGGTACCCAACCCCAGCCTATGGCCACACAGCAATCAGCATATGGGGTGCTTTTCCACAATGAGAATGTAGGATTCCATCCTGACAGACTTCAATCCCACAGTAGAAACATTCTGATTCAGGCCAGGGCTTGATACACAGTAAGAACTCAATCAGTTTTGGGCAATTAGTCATTACTAAAGTTTCAAGCAAACAGTGACCATCCCTACCCTAGCCAACAAGCATAAGGCCACTAGAATGGCTCTTCTCTAAAGCCACTGGACTTTGCTGGAGCTGAAGAGAGCACTGGGGTAAGATATGCCCAAGGATGGCAGAGAATGGCCAGGGTGCTGTTTCCCATTACAATGATTTATGAAGCACCCCTGTACCTCTCTACCTGCAGCTTGGACAAGGCAGCTTCTTGGAGAATAAGATGACAGGAAGGGCAAGGCAAGTTCAGAGAATAGAACAAAAAGCTCCCTGAGAGTCAATCTATCCCTTACATCCAATGGTTGAACAAGGAATTGGAGGAAACTTGATTAGCACTATATATTCTTTTCATGAAAATGTTCTAGCCATAGGAGACCAATCCAAAGGCCATCCCAAAGCTTTGCTCTTCTGAAAAATCTTGGAGCAAATGAGACCAGTGGGGGAAAACTAGAACAGTCATATCTGAGGCAATCAGACCCAGACGCTGCTTACCTGACAGCTTATTTGGAGGTGAGGCACTGGGCTGGTGGTGGGGGGAGCCATGGCCGAGTAGGGGGGTCAGGCTGTGCGTTTGATTGGAGCTATAGGCGTCCATGGCCAGCTTCTGCCGGAAAGCCTCCTCCTTCCTACGGTTTGCAAACCAATTGTAGACACGGACCTCCGTGACCAAGTTGGAGCCCAGCCCATGGGCTTTGGAGGGGGAGACACCTCGCTGCAAACATTCTGCCCTGGAATAGACAGAAGAGAGATAATGAGTGAGGATGGCTGGAGGATTTGCTAGTCACTGGCCCCAAATACGCAGTCAGAGCAGTCTTGGATAAGAGTGTTCAGAAACTATGAGTTGAGTCGTGGGCTAGAGGAAGGCCTAGCTTGAGAAATAACCAATCTATGTAGTTATCTGATGAAGATAATTGGGGGAAGAGCAAGCTACGCTGCCTTGCAAGGCAAAGGATAGCCCTCTGGTGTGGCTTCTTATGAGAAGACAGCAAGCCAAGGATAGGCTGTTCAGGGAGACAGTCCAGACAACTGGGCATCCTGACACCTCTTTATTTTACCATTCTTTCCACCACACAAAAAGTCAGGTATTTTGCTTGTCACTTCTGGTGCCTTCCAAGCCAGATTCTTTTTTCAGACCTAGGCGTTCCCTGTCAAGGACAGGCTGGGTGGGATATAAAGAAAGGCACCCCCAGATGCCTTGTCTCTAGGTTTAATAGAGTCGATGAAACCACAAATTCAGGTGTGAGATATATCCTGAGATAACACTGGATGCGGGAGGAAATTCTTATTAACAGGAGACAGGGCGCAGCCTGAGGACCCTGTGCATGCACAAACAGATTGATTTGCCTCTCAGCCTGGCTTCCCTGACCAGATTCGTCTACTGCCAAAGAGACAGACAAAGAGGCCCATAGGCCTCAGCCACAGTAAAGAGCAGGTCTGTTAGAAAGTCAATATTGGAATTAGGGAGGACCAGACAGTAATGAAACAAAAAGTTATCCTAAGGATTTCTGCTAATTCCCTTTCTTTATAATGACATACAGTTATTACTCAATAAAAAGAACTCTAATGAATTGATATGGACAAAGTGGACTGAACAGATCCAACTAATTCTTACTTTCCTGTAGTTTCCTTTTGACTAATGGTTGGACAACTGGCGGAGGCCAGACTCAGAATCTGTGGCTAAAGAATGGTTTTCCCTAGGCCTATATGGAGATCAGTGACTTAATAGTCTCTTCCTTGGTCACCATATTTTGTATCAGTATTCTCCAGAGTATCTTCCCTAGAATAGTAATTTATGGGGATGTTAGCAAGTATTCCAAAGAAGAAAAAGTCCATTGCTAACAACCACCAAAGTTACAAGAATTTCTTGACTGTAGAACATCTCATAGATGGTAATATACTACTACATGTTGGGACTCTAAGAAAAGCCATGTATTTTGTCAAAGTTATTTATCAGTATATGGAAACTGGGGTTCTGTGCTTTGGAAACATTCCAGTGTAGCCACACTTATCTGGATAACTAGTGTGTCAACAGCCCAGGACTGAAGGGGGAGATCTTGGGTCCATGTGCTTGCCTGCCTGCTGGAGCAAACTGCCGGTGTTGTTACCTGTTACACTCCTCCACTAAGGCCTCCCTCTCTTCCTTGCTGGGGTTCTTTTGCCGGTCGTAGGCCTGGTATAAGATTTGCTGGGATGCGGGCCCCCATTTGAACCGGTTGCGGCGCATCTTCTTGTTGGTGGGCTCAGAGCAGGCGTCATCGGACTGCCCAGGCCCCTGGCTCTGTTGACTGAACTCTGGAAAGAGAAACAGCAGCTGATCCTGACTGCTTTTGTCTGTCATATTTCCAGAACTCTGGACTGTCTGGTTGAACTCTGAAAAGAGAAAGGGGTAGATTTGATAGGGCCTGTAGCCTTCACTTGGCAGAGAGACAGACAGACAGATAAACAGACAGACAAAGACCCCTTGATTCCTCTCCCGTAAGCTCTGCAATGTGCCATGATTGTGTGTGGAACCAGAGTGGGGAGTCATGACAGGCTCCTCACTGCACACCTTGGTGTTTCAGCAAAGTCACCCTATTCCTTTCTTCCAAGGAACTCAGATGTAGCCGGCACTATTTTGAGAAAATGAAGTGTTTTTTTTTTTTTTTTTTCCTTTGGGTCACTGGTCCCCAGACATGAAGCAACACTTTCAATTCTGATCACTTGTATTTTAATGACAAGGGAATGAATTCCACCAAGTCTCAGACCAAGAGAAACACTTCTAAGGTGCAATTTACTCTTACACAACATATTCAGAGACTGACTGTAAACAACTCTCCCCACCCTTCCTTTCAGCTCATATATACTAGGCATCTGCATTCTAATGTTAGGTTCTTAGAAAAATACAAAGCTCAAAACATTTAGATAATGCTTTGAAATAAACACTTGGAACTATGTATTAGAGACGATGCTCTTTAGAGCTCAAGTGTAATTTCAAAGACAATGGTATGTATTTGTGTAAGTATGTGTACAAGGGTCCATTTATGAGGGAGAAAGCCCACTCAGGAAATCTGACAGGTCACCCACAAATCTAGAGGGTGACACGTGCAGAATTTGAAACATAGGACCATTCTAGGAATGGCACTGGATGAGCTGCAGAATGATGCACATAGATGGAATGATGCTCCCTGTCTATCCACTTTCCAGGATCCTTCTATCCATCTTTATCAAATGAATGAATGAAAGATGGCACCTTGGCCCAGTGGTGATCTCTTAGCCTATTTTGTTTAAATAAATTGTACTTGATCTCAGCCAAAAGCCCGACAAGCAATTGATTTATTTATTTATTGCAATGGGTTTAAGTAAATTGGATAGTGACTTAGTTTAAAAAGGAGAACTTTGTTGTCCACTTCCTCATAACTGCATGAAGCAGGGTCCATTAGGGGTAATTAGTTTCATTTTACAGATGAATAAACATAGAAGCCAAGAACCCTGCTAAACAAGGACACATAATATGTTCTCACTTATGTAAGGACCTATATCCACTTTGCATCAGGAGGAAGCAGTGGGTCCCTAACCACTCTGGATGCAGGATCTCAGATGCAAAAATGCTGGGTTTTGTATAATCAGCAGCTAATTGGCCAAGTTAATGAGCAGTCTTCCTGGTGGAAGGACTGTGCGGCTTCTCACTATACAGCCTTTTATTTGGGCCTGGCTCACTTTGGATGATATTTAGGTCACCTGAGGGCTTTAGAGACTTGAAATAGTTTCTGCTGAACTTTAAGCAGGAAATCACTGCTTTTTTGGGATAAACTGTTTAATTCCTTAGTCATTCAACTTCCTCACCTGTGCAATGAGAAAGCCCAAAAGTCTAGGGGGGCACTAAGCAGTCTTCAAGAACATCAGCCCCTAGATGATGATGGTGCGGGTGACCCAGATTCCTCTGATGGCCATGCCTGCACACCCCTACATTAATTTGGTCGCAGAACAGCTCTCTATGTGCAGTTACTTGGGAAACAATCACAAAGCGGAGAAAGAAACTCCCTGCTCAATGTCTTCTCCTGCTCCCTTCTCAATGCCCTACATTGTACCTACAGAGTTGCCCAGGAGCAGTGATGCCAAAGACCTGCAATCAACTTGAATTTTCATTTGACGCAAACAGGTGTCGTAATAGTTTACATGTAATGAGCCATTATAGGGTGAGGTTTTATGCAGCATCCTCTAAATGAATTCCTGCATACAACTCTCACAGCCTCTCCGTGCGAAAACTATTATCATTTCTATTTTACAGAGGAAAACACTAAAGTTCAGAGTGGTTACGTAACCTGCCCAGAGTCACATGGGCTTGGGGCAGGAGCTACGATGTGAACCCAGCCTGAAGACTCTAAGATTCCTAGCTACCTGCTTATGAATCATCTCTGGCAAAAAAGCAAAACCAAAAAGCAGCAACAGCAAACAATACATCCCTAGACTCCGCAAATCTGATTTCTATGGAGGTGAGGCTTTGTCTGTGGTGGGTGTGAAACATACAGCCATGCCACAGGGTGGCAGCTGCTCCAGTGCCTCACCTGCCCTTTGGTGAGGGCAGACTGTGAGGTCTGGGGAACCCCAGTGTATGCTTGGATCAGCCAGGTGACTACCTGCAGGTATCAGAGGCATCTGGGACCTGCTCTTTAAGGGCTGAGCTCTTGACTCTCCCAATGCTTGAAAAACTAACTCTCTCACATATCTTCTACTTCCTTTTGGATTCACCAGGGGTGGGAATGGCATAGAAAATGTTCATTACTCATAAAAGTGACCTGGGAGAAGCTGCCTTCAGCAACCTATTTCTAAGGCTGGGAGCTGGTTCAGACAAGCAGGTTCTATTACAGACAGGTCCATGAATACTACCATTGACTTGTTTTTCATGAAACTCTGCAGTCATGTATTATTTTTTATTCTCTTTTTTCCTTTCTCTTTCCACTCATCCTATTCACTTGTTTCTGTTTATCTCCCTTCCTAATTTTTATTCCATGTTCATGTGACTCGTACTCATCCTTCAAAACTGGGCTAAATGTCACCTCTTATAGGAAGCTTTCCAAGAGGTGTCCAAGTGATTTAGCAATCCCTCTGCTACCCCGTCTGTATATCTTTAGAATAGTTCTTAGAAAGCAGTGGTCATTATTCATCTCAGTGCCTCATCGGAGCGTGAGTCCCTGGAGAAAAGGACACGCGCATCCCACAGATTACCGTGGTATTTGTCACATAACAGGTACACGTATGATATTTACAGAAGGAAGGAATGGCTCTTAAGCTTTGTGCCTCATGTGACTTTCCAACAATAACAGTAAGAAAGTCTCTTGCAAACTCTACCACCAATCAGCTTATGTAAACTGTCCCCTCTCAAGCATGCTGACCATCTTTCTGGGGCTTCTGCCTTTACAGAAATTTCAGCTGACTTTCCCTGCCTTCCTTCTCTCTTTTTTGAGTGGCCTCTGAGAGACTGCATAGATGCAGTACAAGCTGGGAGACTGGGGGAATCCCAAGAGTTCTCTTTGGATACTATGGCTCCTGAGAACTTGCTCACATCTTCAGAGTTGCTTCATGCCAGGAACACAAATTCTTAAAGAGCTAATTGCAAAGCTGGAGCCAATCTATACTGTAAAGTGGCTTTTCCTCTAAGCAGCAAAGAGTTTTCACTTTGCTTCATCTAATCTATCCATGTAATGCTTCCAAAGAAGAATAAACAAAACAAAATCTTTTAGTATTACTGGGTGAAAGAAATCTTGAGACAGAAAACACACTTTTGGATAGTATAAGGGATGACAAGAATTGATGGGCCTGAGTTCCAAAGGCAGACATCTTTACTGTTTCCTGCCTGAGCTCGAAGTGACTTCGTATAGGCCAGGGTCATCAGCTGAGGTTTCAAACTCTGCTTTTGGTAAATCTGACTAAGCACTTTAAGTTGACTCAGGACTTGGTCCTACCTGACCCCCTGTTAGAGAACAGAGTGGGGTTCTAAATATATCTATCTATACAAATGCCTTCATTTTAAAGTTTTATTTCAGAGGGTAAGAAAATAACCTCAGTATTACTGACTGCTTAAAATGTCTTCTTTGGAAACTGAGTTGTGGTCATATATTAAGGAGAAAGATTCTTGGTTTACTGAGTAGCTACATCATTCTGTTACCCACTTAGTTTCAAGGAAAAGAATGCTGGGAAGAAGGACCAAAATTCAAGGTACCTTGCACATTGAAGGGCTTGAAAACATCTTGGCTAGGTAATAAGGGGCTGTGAAGGGAGAAAATGACACAAGCCAGTCTGCAAGCATCAACTAACTATGAAGGCCAAATCTACTTGCAAAGTGTTCATGGAGGCCTTCTTGATCAAGGAGAAATGGAGGCAGCCCACAGGGTCAGAGTGAGGGCAAAGACCTTTCCAAGTTGGGGCAGAGGCAGGGTTTAAACACTTACGTCGAAGGATCTCCCGTTGCTTTCTGACGTACCAGGTGTACAGGGCAGCACGCTTCTGGGTCTTCATAGGGGTGCCCTTGTTGAGATGCTGGGAGAGGTGTGACTGATTCAGTCCTGTGACGTCCACCACTTCCCTCTGGGGGATGTTGTGTTGCTGCATGTAGCCCTTGATCATTTTGGCAGCCCTCCACGGATCCTCACTGGACAGATAAGCAAATGGTTAGCGTGCTAGTGGTGGAAGAGGTCTAGGGAGAAATAGTCTTTTGCTAGGGATTCTACCTATATTTGGTGCAAAACTAACCTTCATGTATTTCTCTACTTGTCCAAGTTACAACCGTGGGAAAGGAATTAAGAAAAACCCCCAAAAGCAAACCAAAAAATGCCCCCAAAGAACCTAAATAGAAGTGCTGTAGCCCCTGCCTGGTGCACTCTCCCTTTCTTCTGAAACCAGCAGGGAAAACAACTGTTCATCTTCAGGAATGAGCAAGGACCACGCACATTCTTTTATTAAAAAGGAAAAATAAAAAGGAAAAGCTCTTGCTTGGTTTTGCTTTCCTTCATTTTCATGGAATTTGAGATATTTCAAAGGCAAGACCCATTGGGGAGTAGAGATGAGCTTGAGACCAGGTGGAAGGGTCTCACAAAGATACAAAGTAGCAGCAGTTTCTGAATTTACTTAATTTCAGTCTAAGTTTCTCCTACATTATTTTCCTTCTGAAATAGTGAATCAATTTTTTATAAAACAGGAGTAAAATATATCTCTATTTCCTGAGCATCAAGGAGGACTTACTTGTCAAATATTAAAACCTTTTAAGATTTTAAAATACAATGACATTCCTCCCTGGGATCAAAGAATCATACTACCTGCAAGGCAGGTAAAGTTAAAAAAAAAAAATTCCACAGCTCCGCCTCCTAAATAACACTTATAGAAGATGAGTGACTTCAGTTTTGCAGTAAGACATTAACAATCTCAAATGCTTTGTTTTCCTGTGTTCTTACATTTCTCCTCTGATAAGGCAAGGGAATCTGGAAGGTAATGTGCCTCATAAATTTTAAGCTTAGGCTACGCATGTGGTCGGACTTTTCCTTTCTTACAAACACAGGCAGGCAAAAAACTTGCTATTACTGTTTTGATGTTTGTTTAAAATATTCCCAACCTTGCTAATATCTTTTCTTGCTTATGAAATAGATGGCTTAAAATGAGAAAAGTCATTTAAATTAAGAAGATAAGGCATAATGTAGGGTAAAAGTATCAAAGAAACAATAAAGTAACAAATATACATTTTAAATGTATAAAAGCATCCTTTACTCTACATCAATATACATGATTATATACTTGATAGGACATAGAAAAATTAAGTTTCAGATGAAACAACTAAAATTAGTGTTAAAGCAGAGACCCTAAATAGATAAAAATGTTGCAGTGTGACATCCTTTCTAAATAGCGTCTATGTCAAATAAAATTTTGTTTACTGAACTAAACCTCATTAACCAAACATATTTTATAAGCATTTAAATGATTCTGATTATTTTAGTTAAGACTTTGTTATTAAATTTGTAAGAACCTAGGTTTTGAAAGAGACGTTTTTGAGAAATGCTAATTTTAGATTAATTATATATAGGTTAATAACAAACTTCTCAAGTATTTATAAAAGTATTTCCAAGTAATATAACATAATTAAGTAACAATAAGAACAAAAACAGAGAAATGCGTTCCAGTTTCAAACATAAATTCACCTGGAGCAAGAGAAAAATAAAGTAATAAACATTTTAGACATATTCAGGTAAGCATCAGAGATCATTTAAAAACTTATTTCTGGCAATATTTCCAAGCTACTTTAAGGGAGGCACACACTTTCAACAAATACGAACAACTGCTTCAAAAGTCAGAAAAAAGTATCTGGATTTTAAAAGTTGGTACTGTATCGCCTTAATAGCTTCTTTGCCTTTTGGTCTTTTGTTTAAGTTTCTTTACCTGTGTTCATTTTGTGCGCCCAGGGAACCTAGCAAAATAGTGCAAGGGTCTAAGTGTCAACAGCTCCGCTAAAGAGTGAATTAGCTCAACAATCGAGCCTGTTTCAATTTTGTAAAAGTGCACAACAGTCTTATAAACAAGGCAAACCTTTAAGTCCGAATCAAAAGACCTAGAGTTGGGGGTTAGATGGCGGAGTTACACCTTGATACCTCTCTGCCTCCAGAATTCCGAATCTTCTCTGGGAAAGGCCCCTGAGAGCTGATTTAGGTATTTTTCTCTCTCTTTTTTTTAGATACAGCTCACGTTCAGGGTTTCCTGATCCGGATAAACGCGCGCGGCCACTGTGCTCCCAGTGCAGGTGTCAAACGCCAGACCTGGTGGCTGCAATCAATGTCCGCCAGGCACACTCCTTCTCAAACAATGACTTTGTTGCCAGCGAGCGGAAAAGTCCCGGCACAGCTGCAGGCGTGTTGGTGGAGAAGCCACAACTCTGCTGTCACAGGCAGCAGCCAGCTTTCCTAGGGCCACCCGCGCGCCAGTGTCGTGGCGAGCTCGGCCGGGAGCAGAGGAGCCGGCAGCGCACGGTCCCCAACCTGCCTCCCCGGCCTGTCTCTCCTAGGAGGTGGAAAGGGCGCCAGCGCACTGAGCAAAGTGACTTTCTGTTCTTTCCGCCTTTGGAGAATAGGCTGGGCAAGGAATAAAGGGAGGTGGGTGGGTGTGGGAGGGTAGCGCCTGGCGCTCTGAGACCCACTGTGCAGTGACCTGGGAACCGCTAGCAATTTCTTGAAAAATTACTTTAATAAAGTCCGACGCGCCCGAGGTTGGGGGAGCGAAGACAGCGCCCGCTTGGGAAGGGGAGAAAAGCCTCAGGCTCTGTCCAGCGAACCTAATTCGGGCGAGGGTCTCGGCCTCCCCGGTCTTCCTCCCTACCCCTATTTAGGGAGGGAAGATGGCTGAGGTCCCAAGACCTCCAGGTCAGGCTGGGCCTGGTTTTCCACCCACTGGGCCTGCGGGTGTGGGCGGCCCCGGGGCTCCACTGGCGGCTCCGGGGCTCCAGCAGCCGTGCAGGGGCCCGGGGCCGCCGGCCGCGCGGGGTCTGAGGGTGCGGACGGGAGGGGGTGGCGCGCCCTGCAGCGCAGTGCGTGTGCCCCAAGAGTGGCGGCGAGCACCCCCGCGTCTGCGTTTTGATTTCCTTCCTTTTCTAAGCCGCGTTTACAACTTCGCCAATGAATAACCCGCCTCTCTTTTCAACCTAATCACGGTCCTTTGTGTATCTTTCTGTTGATGATTTATAGAAATAAATTAATAACACCCCAACTCCACGTGCTGCAGTTTATGTTACGTCTCCGCTGCGTCCCGCCGGGCGCTGCTGGGCCGGGTGCGGAGGGGCGCCCAGGTCTGCTCTGGCTCCCCAGATCCTCGGAGCTCCGCGCCCGCCTGCGGCCCGGGGACCTGGCAGAGGCGCCTAGGCCTGGGGGACCCGCGGCCGGGAGCCCAGCTGTTCCCAGGCCCCGGTCAACTTCCTAGCAGCCCTGGAGTCCCAGCCGCTCTGAGGGATTCCTCAGCCGATCCGGTCAGTCTCGGTGACCCACACCTTGCTGTCCTCTAAACCTGCCTGGGTTCAATCACCGGCGCGCAGCGGAAACGGCCGAGGGAAGAACTTCAACTCTATGAATTACAGCAAAAACCATTGGGGGGTGAGGGAAGTAGAATCCTCCCGATTATGCTGTCTAGAGGGCAAGCCGCTGAGTTTCCAGGGCGCAAATTCAAAAGCAAGGTCACATCCCACCCTGAAAGGGCACCGCGAGCGCGTGGCCAGGCGGGGAGCGACTTCAGTCCTAGGCTTTGAAACTTTGAAATCTCAGCGCTTAAGAACTGAGGCACAAGCGAGAAGCTCTTTCCTAAAAACCCGTGGCCCCAGAGCGAGGTGCGGTCTCCTAGAACCGCTGGACTGCTTGGATAATTAGTAACTAGCTGTCAAAGAGTGGGCCTGTCGGCCAGGACCCGGAGGATCCGGGCCTGGGCGAGAAGGCCGCTCGCCCGGACTCCCCGGGGGCGCCTGGGTGTCGGCCGCAAAGTGCTTGCGCGGCTTCTTTAGCTGATGGAGACCTGATCCTCTGCGAACCGGCCCTTCGCCGGATTGACCCTACCTCACCCCTTTTTGCTTAGCTTCGTGGTTTCCTTTGGCCGGCGCGGGTCCACCCTGATCGCACACGCAAACGTTCCCCTTTACAAATCCAAAAACGGCGTTAGGAATTCGAGATAATCCCAAGTCCTGTCGGGGCCGCAGATGGGAGCGCCCAGCGGATCCTGGCCCAGGTGCTCGCTGCGGGTCCCTCGGCAAAGCTCGGCGGGTCACTGTGCCCGAGCCCGGCCTGCGGCTTCCCTGACACCAGGCGGCGCGGCCTGAGGCTTGCGGGACTCGAGCTTCTACTCCAGGGAAGCCGCAGTGGTTTCTCTGCGCCCACTCACGCCTTCTGTCTCTGGGGCAAACCTCGGGCAAGAGGCTCTGTGCCTCTAGTCCTCCCGGGCCAAGCCCCAGCCCCACGGGAAGGCCCTGGGGTCCCGCAGGCTGGCCTGGAGCCCTGGGCCCATGGGTGCCTGGCTGAGGGTCTGGGAAGGATCCAGTCCTTGGGAGAGAAGCAGAAGGCCCCCGGGGGTCTTCTCGAGTGGCAAACGGGCTTGCGGGAGCAGTGGGCGCTGTGGCGCGCGGGCGCGGGGCCCGGGCTCCGCAGACTCCAGCGCGCGCTCTGCTCGGCGCTCGTTGCCTACCTGAGCATCCGGTCCACCTCCGCCCGCTGCTCGGCCGCCTCTTCGGTGTTGAGCGCCTGCAGCTCCTTGAGGATGGGAGGGGTGTCATAATCGTCGCCGTCCTCAGAGCCCTCGTCCCCGGATAAGCGGCCCTTGGCGTGGCCGTTGGTGAGAGTGTGGAAGACCGGCTTGGTGTCGGGGTCGGTCCCGCTCCCGGGGGACAGAGGCAGAGTCTCCAGTTTCACCCCGAAGTTCGGGGTTGGCAGCAAGTCTTCCAAGGCCTGGACCAGCACCTCCTTGGTGACCCCAGAGCTCAGCAGGGCGCTCAGGAGTTCTTGCTGGAGCGACGTGAGCTTGGACACCATTTTCCAAGGACGGAAAGAGAAGGGGGTGTGGGGGTGGGTGGGTGAGAGAGAGGAGGGTGGAGGGGAATTTCACACGAGAACCCCCAAGTCCTGGAACCCCTCCACCCTTCAGCCTCCAGACACTTGTTACTCCCCGGGGTCCGGGAGCCTCCTCCGAGAGGAGTCAGAAAACTTCTAACTTGCCATGATCGCCACCATTAGGCCATATAAGATATGCAAATTAGTGGGAAGGGCCCCGCTTTCGGCAAGATGCAAATGCTGGTGGGGAGGGGGGAAAACCCAGAGAGAGAAAGCCTAAGGGGCAGTCGTGGGGAGCAGGAGACCGGGCAGGGAGCGAGGCTTACTGGGGCCCATTGTACTTACGTTGGGGGTCTGAAGAGTTTCTTTTGTGGGTTCTGTTTGTCGGCTAAACTTTACCTGACCTTTGGACTTGTTAAAGCAAGTGGCTTGCAGCCTAGGTGCGGGGACTTTTCCACTGGCCAGCAAGACGAAACTGCGCTTCTGGGGCTCAGGTGAAAGCTGGAGAATATCGGGGTGCTTTTGAAGAAGACAGAAGAGGATGCAAAAAGTAGAGAGCTTCTATGGCATGCACAGGTGGTAAATCTGGGGAGCCAGAGGGGTGGAGGCGAAACTGACTGACCTCTTGAGCAGAAGCCCAGAGGCCAGGGGGAAATTGGCGGTGTTTTAGGCGGGGTGAGTGTGGATCGGAGACCCTCCCATTTATTTCTACTTTAGTGTTCGCTCTTTAGGGCCCAAACCCTCACGATCCAGGCCTGGCGGTTTGAATTTGCAGGACTGCGGGCTGGCATGGCGTGAACAAGGGTGAAGGAGCCACCGACTGATTTATGACCCGAAGGAGCAGACAAAGTGGAGGTTCCGCTAGCAGCTTGATGAGCTGGTCACCTGGGTGGCGATCTCCTGTTTAGACCCGGAATATCAAGGCGCCTCTACTTTGGCAACAAAACTAGGATTGTGTGGACTCAGGAGTGAAAGCAAAGCATAACCCGGTGGCTGAGTGAACGCTGGAGCTGTGCGTCCATGGCCCACTCACTTCTGGTTTGTTCGCAGTTCCAGGACTCCCGCGGCGCGTTCTGCAAAGACAAGGTCACTGCTTTAGTGGCGGGGAGTCTCGCATGCCAAGCGGAGAAGGCACCCACAAAGCCGCAGAAGGAAAAACGTTTTCCCCACCTGGATCTGGAGAGGAAGGAAGCCCCGGGAGCTTCAGCTCTGCGGGAGTTTCTATCGCAACTCCCCTGGGGCCCCCGAAGGGCGGAAGGAGGCACCCAACTCGTCCAAGCCTACAGGCTGGGACCTGACTTGCAGAACTGAGGAAGGGGCTCCTTAGGATCCACCGCCAACAGGCTCCTGGGGCAGAGGACACTTGCCTTTGATTCCCAGTTTCCATCCGTGAAAAAGGCTACAGATAGGGCAGTGCAGCAGAGTTGTATACACTGAATAAGACCACCTGTGCAAACCCTCGGTCTAAAAATAGTGTGCACACTTTCCGGTTTGGGAAGGCAGGAGGTCACCCAGTCAAAGCCAGGAGGCCAGTGAAATCTAGGACTACTGGAAGCTTGGAGTTTTCGGAATCAGGGAGAACTAATGCTTGGATGGGAAGGACTAGGCAAGTAGGGACAAAAATTGAGAATCCGCAGGAAAATTGAAAGATAATGAGGAGAAAGTTGAGTTTAAACTAGGGATCAAGAGGAATTTTAGCACGTAGGAGGAAGGGTACACCTACTCTCAAAAAGGTATAGGATCAAATGTCCTTAGTGTATGAGGCTGACGATGTGATTGATCCTATTCAGGCTGTTAAGGAATGAGGATGCCTCTTTTAAATACAGAGTTGACAATAGGTGCCACCTGTCCTAGGAGCCAGAAGATAGGACGTAGCTGTGTGTGTAGATCCCTGAGGAAGGTTTACACCTATCTCAGTCCCTCTTCCCTGTAATAGGTCCATAGAAATAAAGGCCCTTCTTCCCACTTCTTGCTTTCTAATTTATTGTGACATATGGCAGATGCTTGCCCACTGTAATTCCACTTGCTGGAGAACTTTTTCTGTCTCCCTAGCTCATTTCAAGCAGGATAATGAAGTGTTTAGAGTAAATGTCTCTGGAGAACATCCCCCCTTCTCTCTCTCTCTCTCTCTGTCTCTCTCTCTCTCTCTCTCTCTCTCTCTCTCTCTCTCTCTCTCTCTCACTGACAGAAGCATCAAGTGTAATGTACATTGGTTTCTGTGTTAAAGCTGGGAAGACCTACTAAAAAGCCAACCATCGCTTCTCTTTTTAACAATCCAGTAGTTAAAAAGTTTTGACTGCTATGTACATCCTTGAACTTCCAAGCCTCTTTAGCCCTCAAAACTCAGAAATCAGCAAACCCATTTGTCCCCAAACCTCAGCCACCCAAATAAAGAAATTGGCACACAGAACACAGGGGAAAATTCCTATGAGTGCCCAGTTATGTCATCCAAGTAATCTTGCTCATAGCCAGAAACTTCCTGTAATCCTCCTCCCCGGACCTACCTTGTATTTGTGACTTAGTGCTATTGTAGGTGCTCATGAGTAGTCATGACTACAGTACAGACTCAATAGCTATCCTAGAGAAATTTAACAAAGAGTAAGTGGACCAACAGTGTATCCTTTAGGGCGTAGGTCTTGGAGGTTAGCATCTAAATGAGTTTTGTCTTGAAACTCTTTGGTGAAACCTCCCTCCCCAATAACAGAAGACACAGTATGTCTGCAATAATCTTTGCCTATGCTTCACATGGGATGAGTAACCTCATGTTAAAGACAGGAAAATAAGCTGGACATTGTAATTACTCCGGGAGGCTGAGGAAGGAAAGTTGGCGAGGATAACTTAACAATACTGTCTCAAAATAAAATGAAATGTGCTAGGAATGTAGCTCAGTGGTAGAATGTTTGCCTAGCATGCCTGAGGTGCCAGACTTGATAGCAATACTGAAAAAAAGAAAAGAAGACACTGGAAAGTCTACAGAGAAGTTGCTTGTAGCCACTGGAGTAAGTTAATTTGAGGGCTGTTTGGAGCAGGGCTTTAGGATGAAAGAGCAGAGTTCCTAGCTTTCATTGTTTTGGGAGGTGAGAGTTGAAAGGGAGATTCTTTAGGGCAGGGGGAGAATACACTGTTGAGAACAGAGGGCAGGCTTTGGAGTCAAACAGACCTAAATGTGCAAAAGAATAATGATGTTGTATTGTGTTTTTGTGAAAATGAAATGCATTAGCAGGTGCCGGTCCCAGGAATATGGCAGGTTCTTACATACTTTTAAAAAGGGGTGGGGCAGGGATTTAGCTCAGTAGCACAAGTGCCTGCCTGGCAAGTGCAAGGTCCTGAGTTTGATCCTTGGCTAAAAAAACAAGAACAAAAACAAAAAACAGAGAGAGATACACTATGAAATCATGCTGAGAAGTGAGACCACTGATTTCTTTGGGATTTTTTACATTTCCAGATTATTTTTAAGAGTTACTGGATTTGATTAGACTCTTCTACCAATGAATTTGTAGTCAGATTCCAAGATTTCCTAAGGGAGATATGGTCCCCAGTATGAAAACATTTGAAACCCATTTGGCATGTCACCTTATGAAGGTTTTCTGAACGTTGTGTTGGTTAATTTTACCAAACAGTGAATGCAGCTCCTGTGAACTCACTTCCTCTGTGATTTATTTTCTTCAGTTTGCACATATTCTCCCTTCCTACCACCATCACTTTCCATGTTTACTCTCCTTTGTTTACCGAAGGGAGACCCTGGTCTTTCTGGCCTATGCTGTTCTACTTTCTAAGGCTCCCATTGCGGTGGTAGTGACCAGTAGGGCTCCAAGTGCAATCATCTCTAGAATATACCATTCTATGCTGGTCTGAAGGAGGTTGTAATTCTTATGATAGAGAACTGTGTTGAAACCCACAAAACATTCTAGACTCCAGGGTCAGAAGCCTGAGGTTCTGATTCTGGCTATAACACTCCTTTCTGGATGGTTCGTCATCCCCTAAGGCTTTGGTAAGCACATCCTCTGGGCCTCTGATTCTGCTTTTGAGAAGTGACCAGTTGGTTTAGACAACCATTTAAGACCTCTAATTTTTCTGATATGAAATTACTAAAAGGTCTTAAATCATTTGGGCTCCACTTCCAGGTTTTTGGCCAGATAGTCCAAGAACTCAGGCTAGATCTCTAAATAGTAGTGTACACAAGATGCTTGACTAGCCCGTGAAAAAATTGCAGGCTGTAAAGGTCCACGAGGGTTAGGGACCTTCTGATGTCTTGCTCTTCAGTGCTTGGAGAAGTGCTGATATAAAGTAGATGCTTAACAAAATACTGGTTGAATACATGAAGAAGTGAATATCTTTGGATTGTAGTGTTAAAGATGATTTTTATTTGCTTATTTATATTTGTCAGATTTTCTCAATAATCAGCTGTCAAATTCTAATATAAAATAATTTTTCCAGATACAAAAGGATATAGATAAGATATAGATATAATGTGATTACATTTCTGGGAACTTAAAAAGTGGGAAGGGTAGGTTCCATGCTTTAATAAGGATGGAGAATATATTATGTCTTTACATGTAGAATTTGTGCATATTGCTATATATAAGGTACAACTTAGTAAAAATTTTAAAAACAATTCCAAAGTATAAAATGTCAATAGCAGAAGTCACCTTTAGCTGTTTACACTTGCTATGTGGTGCTCTAGAATCTTTTCTATTCATTACATGTAGTTACCTATAGATCAGCATATCCTAGGAGCCAGCAAACTTTTTCTGTAAAAGGGCTAGATAGTAAATATTTTAGACCGTGTGGGTCAGAAGGTCTCTCTTGCAATTATTCACTTTGCTGTTATAGACAAAATATGTGTGGCTGTGTTTCAGTAAAACTTTACTGATAAAAACATTTGGCTGGTGGGGTTTTGTCCAGTTTGTCAGTCCCTGGAGTAAGTACTTAAAATCCAAGTGAAAAGTTGTAGATCCAGAAGAGATGGTAAAAGTCACTTTATTTGTGCTCTGGGATAAGGAAGCAGATTCTTTATTTTGGGAGGAGAAATGACTTTCTCAAGACACACAACACAGTGCACTAGGGAAATCCTGGTTTTGGAGCCAGGTAGACCAATAACTTTCTGTGGATATAGAGTGTGACTTTGAACAATTATTTCATTTTTTTAGCCTTTATATTATGAATATATATAAATGTTGATAACAATGGGTTTTATGCCTCTCAGGGCTGCTGAAAGAGGTAAATGAATTAATACAGAAAAACACTTTTCATGAAATTGATACAAGCAGGGTACAAATTAACTTTTTGCTAATGGTAGCACATGGCTCTGGGGTTCCCTCCCTTCTGCCCCCATCCTTCTAAATGCACAGCTTGTGAGGTAAAGGTTACTACCAAACTCCCAAGTGATCACTATGCCTGAAGCCCTTTGGAGGGCCCTGTGAAGGAATAACAAATGGATACAGGAAGATACGAAATCCCCCTCATTCCAGCCATTGGCTTCCTTTCTATTAATCCCTTTCAGCTCTGAACCTTTATTTCCCCACTCTGCTGCTATTAAATGACCTTTGCCTAGAAACTCCTAAGGCTAAAGAAGATTTCTTTCCTTTGGATCCGACAACTCACATCTTTCTGCTGGGTCATATTTAAAATAGGGTGTTCCCAGTAGCTTGTAAAAGATTAAATTAAAAACCGGTGAATGACCTAGTATGATATTAAACTAATAAATACTACACCTAGCACAGAAGCCTTAGCTCCAAAACAATATCTAATCCTTTTTCTTCCTTTTCAAGACCCATGAAAATTGGGGGGTGTGCCCACCACATAGTAGGTACTCCAAGAATGTTTACTGAGTAAGTGATGAGCCCTGTGCACAGTACATAAATGTTTACCCAGATAAATGATACAGACCAGGTTATAGATCTTAGAAACAATTTTTTCCTAAAACTTCTTGGAATTTGTCTTCAGATCAAGATTAAAATTATCACTGACATACCAAATAATTGCATTCTCCTTTTTTCCCTCCTGACAAACCCATGAGGCAGGCACTGTCATCCTCACTTCAATGGTAGGGAAATGGAAGTTCCAAGATGTCAAGGAAGCCTCGCCTTGTTAATTCCAGTTACTCGGGAGGATCACAAGTTTGAGGCCAGTCTGGACAACATAATGTGACTTCGTCTTAAAATAAAGCAGAACCGGAGATGTAGCTCAGTGGTAGAGTGATTACCTAGTATGTACAAAGCCTTGAATTCAGTCCTCAGTATATTAACAAAAAAATTAAAAAAAAAAAGAAGATAAGGGTTGACCCAAGAGCCCATAACCTGGCAAGGAATGGAGCCTTAGCCTTGGACCAAGAACCTGAAATCCATGTTAAGTGCTCAGCTTCTGTGCTTTTACACCAAAGCACCATGGGGAGTTAGAAACAGAGAGAAAGAGAGAGACAGACAGACAGATAGAGACAGACCGAGAGAGACAGAGACAGAGAAAGAGAGGTCTCAAAGTCTTTCCTGATAGAGGAGGTATCTGGCATGTAAAAAAACATGAACAGAGATTTATGATGTACAAAGAGCTTTCTCTTTTCCTTCAGCCCTCAAAATAGTCCCATGAAGAAGGATCACAAGGTCGAGGCCAGCCTGGACCTCATCTCAAAATAAAATAAAAAGAGTGTAGCAGACATGAACTGTCCACAATAAACAGTTGACACTGGAAGGTAACTGCTGGGCTGCTGGTGAGCAGACACTGAATACCTGGCCTGCAGTTCAGAGTGTCTTGTCTTCGCCAAGAGGAATTCCTGAAAGTTTCCAAGGAGGTGTGTGCCATTTTAACATTTATTTTTTTAGAGAATGCTTATGACATCAATAACTAATAGTGGCTATTTAGTGGATGCTTGTACTACTGTGCTGAGATTTATACCACTATCTTACTTGATCCTTACAGTCATCTGAAGTTAACTCTCATTATCCCAATTTTACAAAATTAAAATGATT